GGGCTTTCCCAGCCGCAGTGCCAAGCTCTGCACTTGCGTCTCTGGCAAAAGAGGGGACGGGGACGGGTAGGGGAAGGCGGGGGGGTGGTGGAGGCTTTCACATCCTCAAACCCCAGGGAAACATCTGGCACCGCGGCAGCTCCATCCTCATCAGTCGTCCAGCTGCCGGGCTATACATAATTAATCCCAATCCATTAACGCACCAGCACACCCATGCCATGGCTCCAGGAGCTGCTCCTTTGAAACAGCCAGGCCTGTGCTGGTGCAGACTGCACCTGGGGGTGGGCAAAGGTACAGTGAACTGCCTTTGTGCTCGCTGCAGTTGTTCCTAAAAAAATAAAAGAGAGCAAGGAAGTTTCCATTGCAAAACCAAGGAACTATGCTGATCTAGTCACTACCATGAGCATTTACAGCTGTGCTGCTCAGTCTTCGTTGTGCTGGTACCAAAAAGGCAATTGGGAAAAGTGTGTGGAATCCCAGGTCATTAGTACGTTCCTGTGACATAAGAATATTTCATTTGTAGCAGGTTAGAGAAAGGATGTTTTGAAAGAATGGAGGAGGGAAAAATGAATTACCTGGGAAGCAAATAAAGTCTGGTAAGAAAATTTCACTCTGATGGAAAATTTGGTATGTTGTTACTGTGCCAGAGAAGAAGAATACCTGTTTACATCAAAGAACCAAACAGACTGCTCCACAGGAATCCTGAAGCAAAGCAGAAGGCAGACGTATAGTAAAGAGGACTAGCTTAGACATATGACCAGCTCATCAATGTTCTTCCTTAAAGCATGGATCACTTCTGAAAATTGACAGTAGAAATAATTCAGCCTTACGTGGCAAATTTACTTCCCAAGATAATCTGGACAGACTCTGTCAGTGAAATCTAAGATAAAGCTTTATCTACATTTCATTCTGCAAAATGAATGCAACAAAGCATGAGTCATCCTTGCAGTGTTTCCCATCCTGTGCCTTGCCTGACTCCCATGTCTTTGCCTCTCCTCTTTCTAAAGCTTTGCAGGAGAAGGTGAGGAGTGGGGGAAAAAGTCAGTCTGCAACACTGGATGTTATTTCTAGTGTAAAGCTGAATATATTTGGTATGGAGATTACTGAGTGTCAGTGAATATAGACAGCAGTATGGCATTTTAAAGGGTTGTTACAGGCAAAAGTCAAATTTGGAAGTATCTTCACTAACTTTAATGTACAAGTATGATAGAAAGTGGACACAGATTGTTTCAGACAAAGTTCTGTGTTTTCATACTGCTGGCTTAGCCTTACAATGCCAGTACTGCATATGTAATGTTCTCAACTGTCACTTTTCACCCATTTTAGTTCTTATGACGTATAGATGAAAGCTGTCTTAAGAAAGAAGGAAGCTTGTTTTTTTGTTTCTTTTCTGCTCCATCAGCAAACTACCCCAAAGAAAAATCACTGTGGTTCTGCATCATGGAACACAACTTTTTATTACTATAAACCTGTACTGTAATGCATGTTACGCCTATTTCTGATTTCGCATTAATCAATAAGAAGTTAGGAATTCAGGGAGGTTACATCTGTGTGAGACTAACATAAACTCCGCGCTCATGAGACCCAACCTGGAATATTGCATCCTGCTCTGGACATCTCAACATAAAAAGGACATGGACTTGTTGCAGCGGGTCCAGAGGAGGGCCACGAAGAAAATCAAGAGGGTTGGAGCACCTCTTCTATGAGGACAGGCTGAGAGAGTTGGGGTTGTTCAGCCTGGAGAAGAGAAGACTCTGGGGAGACCTTAGAGCGGCCTGCCAGTACCTAAAGCGGGCTTACAAGAAGGCAGGAGAGGGACTTTTACAAGGGCAAGTACTCATAGGGCAAGGGGTAATGGCTTCAAACTGGAAGAGGGGAGATTCAGAATAGATATTAGAAAGAAATTTTTCACTCTGAGGGTGGTGAGGCACTGGAACAGGTTGCCCAGGGAAGCTGTGGATGCCCCATCCCTGGGGGTGTTCAAGGCCAGGCTGGATGGGGCTTTGAGCAACCTGGTCTGGTGGGAGGTATCACTGCCCATGGGAGGGGGTTTGGAACTAGACAATGTTTAAAGTCCCTTCCAACCTAAACCATTCTATGATTCTAAATGAGAGAATGATAAGGCACTGTGCCCTAATTTTTCCTGACAAGGGTACAAAGTGAAGTCCTCATAATGTGAATTGAGCTGTCCAAATAAACACAGTTTGATTTTTCTGAAGTCTCACGTATTTGCAGGTGGCACTGAATTCATGCAGAGAGGACCTCTGTAAATCAGACTACTTTTGTTTAGATTGCTAAATGAAGACCATTGAGCTTGGGATTTGGAAATGAGTGCTGCATATTCTGACCTGAGACATTAATGGATTTGCAAACCTGATAGAACAGAGGGGAAAACTCTGGAGGAAATTATGCTGTATGGAAAACTCTGATGTCAATGTGATTTACTTATTCCAAGCAATAACTGTAAGTTTACTGTATTTGCATTTAGCTGAGGTTGTGTTTGATAGATTTTGTTTGTGTTAAATCTGTGTTTCACTTTAATTCATATTTGTGATAGCAATAGAATAGCTTATTTTAAAATACTTCAATGAAAACACCATATATTTCTTAGTAAGATTGAAAACTTCTTGATTTTGCCTCTGCTAGATGAATAAGTAACTGGTAGTGCCATTTCAAGTTGCTATGTGTGCCTACTTGAAGGACTAGATTACTGTGGTACACATGAACCATGTTTCACACCAGGAGACATGTCATTGTGAGGTGGTTTCCATCATTACCAAGCAACAAAGCAACTTGCTGCTCATTCAATGTCTGTGTTTGTTCTGTACCATACTTGATAAATCTCTTTTCAAGAAGAATTCACTAAACCACTGCCTTGCTCTTTATGGTTTCTATGTAGTGATCTTCTGGAGGATGACCTCTAGTTTTACTGTGGTTTGTTGGCTAGAACTTCAGAAACTTAGAGAAAGAGGAGCAAGTGGAGTCTTTTAAGTTTACTGCCACAGAAGGACAATAGAAGAGAATGACCGTGGCTTCCCATGGAGCTGAAAGGCAGGCGACTTTAAAATGTCCACCTTGTCAGTTGAACCAGGTCACAAGACGGATCGCCAACAGTATCGAAGCCTTTTAAAGAAGATGTGCATGCCTGTTGTGAGAGGTCCTGAGAACAGACATGGCTTTGCCAGCTTTGAAGAGAAAAACAGTAATTCTTTCCTTAAATTCAATCCATTCACCCCTCCAGTAGGGCCAGATTACCCTTTATTCCCGCACCGGGATGATGTGCCTTTAGTGGATCCCTGCTCAGGTTTTGTGAGTCCAGGAGCAGATGCTGACCTGCAGCCCAATGTTGGAAGAGCTATTGAATCCCTGGTGGACTACAGTGATGTGAAACCTCACCAGCAGATCCCTGTTACGGGAAAGAGAGGCCAGACTGCCCACAGGAGGCAGATGATCCTCCTGGAGGAAACCAGCCAGAACAGAAGGTGGAACTCCAGGGCTGTGCCGGCTGTTTCTGTCAGGGCACGACTCGGAGGTAAAGCAAACTATTATTTTTATTTCTTAATCACCGAAGAAATTGGTGATGCTTAACAAATAAATACAATTAGTTTCTGAACTCCATCCCCCCAGCTCCTGAAAGAACAACCTTATAAAATATATTTGCCCTGGATGTTTGAACTGAATATAACAACTGCAGTAGAGTGTTTGTATCATTCATTGTCCCTGCTATAGCAAAGAAGTACCAGTCAGCAAATTCTAACAAGAATTCTAATGCTAAAAACAAATAAAAATCTTTGAAGGTAAATAATTTTTTAAAAGAACTATTGAGGTAAATTGTGAAGTTATATACAATAGTCCTAGTGAGGACCTGTTTTAATGTCAACTAAAACAACAAATCACTCCAGGGTTGGGAAATCCCCTGGATATTTCTGTGTCTCTTAGTATTCCTGACAAGTTGCAGTACAAGGCATTTAAAGATCTATTCCACTGTCTAGTTAATCAGAGAACAGAAGTTGTTTAGGACTGCCATCCCATGTTGGTCAAAGTACATATTACTGTTTTACTTTATATCAATGTGTTACCCATAAAGTTGTGTCTGATCATTTCATATTGATTACAGCATCAAAATGGAAATTCACTCTTTTTAACGTGAAGCAAAATTGGGTTGGTTGTTAATATTCAGAATTTTCCGATCAAAATTCTGGACAGCAGAATTATTTACTCAGGGCTTGTAAAGGCAGACATAATTAGCAGTAAGCAATATGGTTGAATTTTTATAAAGATTAAACCAATTCCAATTGTTTCCATAGAGAACTGCTCATTACAGCGAGAACAAAATTTTATGAGAATGCAGGCAACTTGCTCACAGATGGGGGAGGAGACATTTCTTAGAACATGGTAAAGAAATGTAAACAAGCTCCTTGTTCCATTTTGCTATAGAGAAATAACAGTCTCACTTCATGATTAGCTGTACTTTAGCCATGTTATTGTCATGATAAAGTCTCTACTTGCTATAAATTCTGGCAGTGGTTTTGGTTCCTTGTTTCTGTCTTTGAACTTTGCGTCTTAAATCACTTTAAGTTTACTGCAGTCACATAACAGAATCCAAAAGCACCCAAGAAACCACAGGGGATAAAAAAAATAGACTCCATAATTTTCCTTTTTTTCTCTTGCTCATCCCGTATAATTTTCACTTTTGTTTCTCAGTTACTGTGTTCTCCATTTACATATGAAATTAGACCACAGACAGCAATCAGTACTGATCAGCTGTTTTCTTTTGCATGCCTCTGGAAAAGGGAAGGAGAAAAAAGATTTGAGATACGCAATTCTATCTGACCATTAATTTTTCAACACAGAGAAAACTAGACATAGACAGAGATAGAGATACTCTGGCAGATAGAGACACACCTGAAATGAATGCAGACAAATCTGAAACTGAATGTTATCAAGTCAATAACCCAGGTTGCAGTCCAGGCAGTGATATGAAATGGAGAGTAGTTCCAGAAAGCAGATAGAAACTGTCTGGTGGCTTTCTGGTGATTTTTCATTGGGTAAAGTTCAGTATTAGAGGGAAATACTAACTCCACTGAAGGTGTTAGAAAAAGTCAAACTCAACTCAGGGACAAAACCTTGAAACAGACATGGTCCAGCATAAAATTCTTAAGGAAATATGTGCAAATGTTCTTCCAAATCTAGTGTTCATTTGCAAGTTTTCTGTGATGCTTGGGTATTAATTACAAACGTGTAAATATAGAAATAAAAAGTAGTTGAGTTTTAAGCTACTATTTTTAATGAGACTGCATAAACAAATTCCAGATTTCAGCTATGTGATTCAGAGAGCCCAGCTACCAAGCCCCAGGCACGTGATATAATGAAAGTTGCTAATCCTTCTAGATATCAGTCCCAAGACATTCCGCAGCTAAGTTGTTTGGGGAAGTTGTGCTGAAAGAGATATCAGTCAGGCATTTTGCAAGCCAATTTTGCAGTCTCTTTCTCCACTGTGTGTGGGATGAACGGAAAAAAAAACCAGACAGAAGCAACCTTTGAGACAGATGAGATGAAGTATATAAAACATCTGCAGTAGACAGGAGCTTCTCTGTTTTGAGAAGATGTAGTGCTATGGCTTTGGCAGTCGACAGTGTTCCTTTGAACTTCCCCAGCAGCCTTTTGTATCTACTGAGCAAAGCCAGTATATTGAACAGTGAGGCTCTGTGATAGCAAAGCAAAGGTGAAAAGCTGACAAAGAAGGTCGTTCTAAGACTGGAGTATCATAGTATGCCAGAGAAGGGAGACAGCTGAAGAGCCATTCTTCATGTATTCTTGATCA